TATATATATATATATATATATCAAAGTTGGATTGAGGGAGCTCATTTTTTCTTAAAAGGAGGAGATCTTTGATCTTAATCTTGATGTGCCAAAACCTAATGAAAATGTAAATTTGTTGGAAAATGATTGATACACAATTGGTTCAATATATTTTCTGACAAATATTCAGTTCAACCATTAAAAATATGATATAAATACAGTTAATTCAATCGGTTCTTACATCTTATATGCATGATTGTTTACTTAAACCTATTTGCCTTTAATTTCAAACCAAGAAATACTGATTTTTTAATGAGTGTATTGTGTAGTGTGTTGAACTAAATATGTAGCAATTATTGTCCAAATTTGTTTTTGACATACTTTTAAATATAAAAGTAGAATATTCTATACATTGTTATTTTTTGTAAGTCACTTTGTATTTTCATAAATTTCAATGTGAAATGAACATTTTTAAAATAATCTCATTAAAGTAAATTACTACATTAAAGAAATTATATTGTTCAATGATTCAAATTGTTAAATTGTTTTGTCAAGTGTCTTGACCTTTTCAGAAGATCTCTATGAAACAAGTTTCTTCTTATTAAGTCTTCCAAAATACACAATTTTGTAATAGGGTCTAGAACCAATTAGACAACGTTTGGACTTTTGAACTCACTATTTTCACATTATTTTTTTATGCAAGGAATGGTCCAACATGTTGGAATTTTTGAGGAATCTATATTTAAATAGGCCATGTTCAAAACTTTCCACATCACATTTTAAGTTCCAAAACTTCTAACTTTTCTAGTTTTTCACGTTTGCAAGACTTGTAGCAAATTCTTCATTAATGCAAAATTGTTTCAAAACCTTGGTGAATACTCATAAGTCATCAGTCAAGAAATTCAAAAATGTTCTAGAACTAACAAAGAGGGTTCTTGGATCTTTGGTTTAAAAGGCAAGATTCATGTTCCAACCTTAGAGACAAATTTTTCAAAAATAAGAGCAATGGCTATAAGGCTAAAATTGGGTTGTTTTGAGGTTTAAAAGAGGCTATCACTACTAAAATCTTGGGTTTTACCAACAATATATCAGCAACATGGGATTGTTTGTTGCTAAAAATAACTATCAGCAACAAGCCTTAGGTTGTTGAAAGTGCTATAGTACACCAATCCATGCAAAAAGCTACCCCACTTTCACCAATACACTTCTTGTTGCTGAAAGTTACTTTCAACAACATACTCTATCTTGCTGATATTTTCCGGTGGATTCTTTGCTATTTAAATGAGCTCCACTTTTCAGCAACGAGTTCCTTGTTGCCGAAATTCACTTTCAACAACAAGAGATATGTTGCTGAAAAAGTTTCCAATTACTTTAAGTATTAGCAGCATATACCTTGTTGGTGTTGTTGCCTTTTTTTATCAATCAAATATCAGCAACAAGGGGCATGTTGCTGAAAGTGCCCTTGTTACTACCATCTCCGGTCGGCCACCCCTTTCACTTTCAGCAACAAGGGACAGGTTGCTGAAAGTGTCCCTCTTTTGATCGCCTCTTGCACTTTCAGCAACAAGCCTCTTGTTGCTGAAAGTGCTCCCAACCTCCAGCCCCTGCGTACCAACCAATCCCAGTGACCGGCGGGTGGTAGAATGAGATGCACTTTCAGCAACATGGTTCTTCATGCTGAAAGTGAATTTTAGCAACAAGAGCCATGTTGCTGAAATTTTCTAAATTTTGCTATAACATTACCCACATATATCATATTGCTATTGATAATCTCCCCTTCTAGCCACTAATTAGCAACATGGATCATATGTTGGTGAAAGTGAGACAATTGCACCTTCTTGCTAAAAATCCTTTGACTGGTAGCTCATTCACCCTTTATATATACAGCTCTCTCCTGCTAATATATACACTTCTCCCACGCTTCCTAATTTCTTGCTATTTCTCCCTCACTCTTGCAATTCACTTTTTTTATCTCCACATAATTATTTTTATATTATAATTTAAAAGTATTAATTTTTTTAAATTTCAAAACTCTTTTTTTCTATTGCTTAATGGAAAGTCAACCAAATTTTAATAGTCAATTGAAAAGTCAAGAATATTTTGACAACCAATTGGAAAGTCAAAAATATTTTGACAACCAATTGGAAAATCAAGAATATTTTGACAGCCAATATGATGGTATAACTTTTTCTTTTGTCCTTTCCTTATTTCTCATTTCCTGTTCGTTCACCCCATTTACTATCACATTATTTAACTTAATGTTATTTTACACAAGAATAGTTGAGGATACTCCTAAATCATTATGGAATTGCCCATCTCAGAGTTCTCTCAACAGGAAATTAAAAAAAGCAAAGAATAATGTATCAATTGACCAACACATTCCATTGCCTAATATTGTAGACTACTCTGTTTGTCAAATATGTGATACTCTTGGACATTTAGCTACAGTTTGCCCGCACCGATATGCTGTAACTTGTCAACTGTGTAACCGTCACGGTCATATTGCAAAAAGTTGCTCAAATCGTTATCAATCACCATTTCTATCACATCCACCCAATGCCCCTACTGAGTCCTCCGAAACAATTACAAAGATTTTTCCTAGGGGTAGCCATAGAAAAAAAGTATTGGGATGCTGCCATTCAAAAATTACGATCCATTGAAGAACCGTAGTATCATTGTCTTACTTATGTTCTTCAATTTTCTTTTCCAAGTTCTCTTATTTTCTTATGATTATCTTGTATATTTTGATATTACAATGTTTATTAATGATTTCTAAGTTTTTCTCATGTTGCCGATTAAGAGTTTGCATGAAATTCTTTTACTTTGTCAACCCCAATTGTCCAAGAGTCCAATCTTACTTACTAGAGTCGACTGTAAAGGACTAAGAATCGACTCTCAACATG